GGTTTAGGGTTTAGGGATAGGTTGCTTGAAGGATTTCTTCGAGAGTTTCTAGAGCGGTTCCTTTAAAGGTTCCTTTTGAGGGCTGCTGTAAGGTTTTTGTCAGGGTCTAAAAGTTATATGCACGTGATCTGTTGGCATGCTGGGTCATTACATGAAGGCATCAGGGTTACAGGTTTGGGGGTCAGGCCTTTAGATGTGTGTGTTTTGTCTAGTGGAAGGGGGCTGCTTCGCGAGTCTTGATCGTGTCTCTTGATGGATTGCTCAGTAGGATTGAGAGTGCAAGGTGTTTGGAGCATCTTTGTGTACCTAGAGCGCGGAGCCCTTGAAATCAACCCGTATAGGACCCGGCGATATCCTTAAAAGCTAACACTTAGTACAGGCACCGGCCGTCGTCGTCGACGTAGGAAGTAGTATCTAGTGGGGCTTTAGTTTAGGGCTTCGGGATTTGGGTTTGGTGGAGTTTAGGGTTTAGCAGCAGAAATCTGGGAAGTACTTCGGCCTTCCACAGCAGCGGCAAAACCTTTTGCGGTTTAGGGGTTTAGGGTTGCTGGGCTTGGGAATGCCGGCCTTGAGCAGTGACATTCGGCTTTGAGGTTTGGGGTTGAACCCTGAGCAAATTCGGCACAATGGTGGGGAACCTTTGAGAGACCCTAAACCCTGGACCTAAACCCTATACAAAAAGGTTCTAGCTTTTGGAGACTTCCAGCCCTTCGTGCCGCCAGGCGATCTAGATCTTCCCTTGCTGCAGCATGTGCCGCAGACAGAGGTGCCAGAGCTGTTGGCTCCGCTGGAGTTCATTCCCAAACTGCCTGCAAAATGGAAAACAGCGCCCTGACGAATTGGCACGTTACTTGATACTATTCCTTGGGGCTGGCTTTGTAGTTGAAGAGCAACATCAGCCAAAGGCGTGTTCCCGTTGTTAAGGCCTCTTTAAGCCGCGAATACACCGAAATCTAATGCCAACCAAGGCCACAAACGCTTGAGTCTAAGCAATAGGCTCCGTAGCTGCTCAAACAGGAAAACACGCGATCCTAAGCCGCCTGAGCCTATCCCAGTTCAAGCAAAGACCCCACAAGCCAAAGACAGCAGCCGTGCCTAAACGCCAAACCTGAGGTTTAGGGTTGGGCTTGTCTTAGGGTTTAGGGTTAAGGGTTTAGGGTTTAGGGTGTTTCGGGTTCATGTTCTCGGGAGTTTGTTCGGCTTTTACACGCAGGGCTTGGATCAGGCTTCTGGCTTTGTTTTGGAAGCCTAGGCTTCTAGAGTTGGGAGCTCGTGGCCTCTGGGCAAGCCGTTTTTTCCAGGGGTCTTGTGGTGAAGAGAGGTTGGTTCGTTCGGGGCAGGCGGTGTAAGGGTTAGTGGGCGACGGTAGTTGTCGTCGTCGTGCTCCTCATCGTAGTAAGATTGGCGGCATATTACTTGAGATCATGGCATGGCCCTCAATGGTCGTCCTGATGGAAAACACATCCCGTGACATTGAGGTTTGGCATGAACCTAGCGAAAACGAAAACAACACCAGCAGCCATCTGACCAGCCAGAACAGCACCTCAAAGGAAGCTGATGCCGACCAGGAAGAATTGGAGAGCATGCATACGATGTGAGTGATCAGCTCACAAGACTGGGTTAATTTCCTGACAAACCATGGTCAGAGAAAATGAACCACTGTAGCTACTGTAGGAAACAGCACGTGGTCAGTACCACCATCTCCGTCCTTCAGCCTCACCACCACCATCATCATCATCGTCGTCATCATCTTCACCATCATCATCATCATCATTGTCATTGTCACCACAATCGTCAACATCATCATCAGCATCAACATCATCACCATCATCACCATCATCGCCATCTTCATCGCGATCGCCACCGTCATCATCACCGTCACCATCACCATCATAATCATCATCATTATCACCACAATCATCTCCATCGTCATCATCAACATCATCATCAGCATCAACATCAACATCAACATCATCACCATCATGACCATCATCGCCATCGTCATCGCGATCGCCACCGTCATCATCATCACCATCATGATCATCACCACCGTCATCATTAGCAGCACAACATCATCATCGCCACCGTGATCATCATCACCATCATCACCAGCATCATCTAAACCGTCGTGTGCCAACAGGACGCCCTTCAATTGTCGCGGCGGGTGCTGCTGCGAGGCTTGTTCCGGCGGCAGGCCAGGGGAGCACCGTGAAAGCTCCAAAGCTGGCTTTGGAGTTTGGGGCTTGAAGGGTTTAAGTAGAGATTAGCCCTCAGCGAAGACTTTAGGGTTTAGGGCTTCGGGTGTAATTTAGGGTTGTGATACAGAGTCTTAAGCACGTAACTTGCTCATCAGGGTTGCCAGAAGGTCTTTGGTATGCTGCGAGCCCTGAGTACTCAGTACCCCCGTCATGGCCCTTACCACATACCCCTAGACCCAAAGCACCGCATTCACAGCTTTATTAATTTAGGGTTTAGGGCTTAGGGTTTATTAAGCCGAGAACCGAAATCCCAAACTGAAGCTGGTGATCCGTGCAGCACGCTGGGGTGGAGAACGACATCCCCACCATCGTCCGATTATGGGCACGGTGGCTCAGCACAGGTCATTCTTCGATATGATT